GCTTGCTTTACAAAATACAGTTAATGAGTTAGCTATAAACCATTCAAAAATTCTAGTCAAAAGAAGTGTCTGCTAACTTTCAAAAAATATTCTAATCTATAGCAGGCTAATAGGGCGGTATACCCATGTAAGCTAACTCATGCCATATTTACTACATTCTTTTACCATTTTCCATCACCTACCTTACATCACTATCTACTCTACAGATAGCATAGTATTCACATATCGACCTGTGATCAGGTCATACACATCAACCATTACCAACAAAAAATCCTTATACTCTTCAAAAGTTTCAATACCTTCATCCTCGTCAACAACCATATAAAAGCGTGTGTAGTGAGTGCACCTATATATAACATGTATAGCCGTTAGATCTTCAGTAATTTCGGCATGTCTGGTAGTTCGGATAACCTCAGTTGCCCGCGGAGCCATCTACAATACAAAATACAAAGCGTGAACAATAAAGTTCAGTAAATATGATGGTGCAATGATGTCAATCAAACACATTTGGGCCCGAATCCTCATTATAGTGTACCGTGTGAGCTCACAATAACATAGCATTTATTTGTGCACAAATCAATGCCAAAGCATCCGTCCTTGCCCACCGAGACTCATGATACCCCATCAGAATATATATAATATGAATTAAGGCCTGGCCCCGTGCCTATCCGCAATCCCAAGGCCACCAAGGGACCTCCTGGCACTGCCTGTATACAAGTGCCGAACTCCAAATACCCTATCCTTGGCTACCCTTAGTGACCGTCAGGAGCCTCAATGTGGTATATTTATTCGGACACAATGGTACGATACATCTATAATGGGATTCACATTTAAAACTTTCAATCACACACTCCATGATAATAACAATATAAGTATGCATGACCATGAAAACGTATTATCCATTCGTTTTCCGAATAAACTCAATGCACAATTGTCACGCCACCGTATCACATAAAGAATACAAACACATATAAACACATAACTTCACATATTCAGGTATTTTGTACTGTAGTTGAAGAACATCAATATTTACCTTTTTCGCGACCTTCTTGCTCAATATCTGCATTAATAAAATAACCTCTACATTAATCCTAACTTATCATGTTATTTCCATGTTATCAAATCTAAACTAAACCTATGATATATTTTACGTTAGTAGAATACTACTTGTAGCAATACAAATAATGATCTTACTTTATCACCAATAACATAAATGAAATTTTCTTTATTGTTATAATAGAAATTCCATAACTTCTAAAATAAAATTAATACATATAGACATCCTTCTAGCAATACACTACCATATTATTTTTCATTTCCTGTTTGGTCCATTTTTCATTTCATCTATCACACAAGTGTGTGTGTTTATATATACTCATATCTACTAATTAATTTCTTATCAAATCCATATATTATAACATTTTACTTCTCATCTTATCATGTCACCAAATCAAAATAACTTAAGTTTAAACCTCAAATGCTAAATGTTTTCTCTCCAATTGACCATGTCCACCTATATACATATATTAGTCACTCAATTTCAATATCATGATGATATTAACAATTTTTATAGTAAATCATTTTATATCCCTACTTTCTTTCTTTCTTAATTACTTCCCACCATTTTTCCTCAATTTCATCCTTTTATCATCTCTTCCCCAAAATTCTTTCACACAATCACGGGGAGACACCGTCTCCCCGTGCAAGCACGGAGAGACATCAACTCCCCGTGCTTGCACGGGGAGAATCCGTCTCCCCGTGCAAGCACGGGGACACATTAATATTTATTTTTTTTTAACATTCATTGACAGGTGTTTTTTTAACAACAATTATATTACTTTTATTTACAATTTACTTAGAATTACGAAAAAATATATACTCCCTATAATTACTACTATAATTACTACTAAGTATACATTATTTAACGTATTTTAAATTACATAATATTCCTAACATTAAATTTTTTTTTCTCATTTAGAATTAAAAACAAACTTAATATAATAATAATCATATAATAATATTAATAATAACACCATTAACTCCCACCCGTGCAAGCACAGGGAGAAGATGTCTTCTCACTTGGAGGTGATTCTTGGCTGAAACAAGGTAACACAAAATTGTAGTAGTTCATGTATAAGGATTTTGTTTTCATCATCATGGTTATCGGTAGCAAATAGACCCAAGAAGCTGCGCAAGTACTAAGGAAGAAAGGAAATGGGTTAATTTGATTATGTGAACAAGAATCACAACAGAAAATTATTAGAAATTTACGTGAGGGGCTGTGCATAATGATACCCATATATGGCTAATTACAGATTCTAAGGCAAGAGATGGGGTTAGTTCAAAAAAGGTGAGTAGGGTTATTATGAGTATATGTACATGTATGTCCCCCATGAACACTAATAAAGGAATGGAGAAACAACTGGATAGTATTTGGCTTAAACTTTGGAGACTTGTTAAAATATTACTGATGAGTTCTATATGAAAGAAATTAATAGCTTATGATCAATAAAGAAATGAAATGGGCATGATTATGGTGAGTTAGAATTCGATTTTATTGTGCTAAGTTGTTTTGTTTCATTTTCGAAGTTAAACCAATGCTTCAAATTGTAAAGTATTATATAGACAGAAATTTTTATACATTGAATAGAAACCGGAATGAATTAAGTTGTGATTCACTGACTAGAATGAGTTGAAAGGAGTTTTGATTATGGATTTGGCCAATTGTTATTAATGGGTACCTGCAACAAGAGAGAGAAGAATGGGGGACTCTACTTTTTAAGTTCTTGTTTCATCTTTCAATAACAGTAATTGTTTTCAATTAGAAAAGGGCTGCAATTGGATAATATTGGCCTTAATAAAAGAAAACGTGGAAGGAGAAAGGGGATGGAAAAAAATTGATGAGTTTTCTTTCATAGGCGGACTAAATTGGAAAAATAGAAAAGAATGAGCAATAGTTGAGCTGCTTACGTCTTCTATTGGTTCATTGGTTGGGGAATTGGATTAAATGGTTGTAATATGAAGAAATGTTTCATTTTTCAAGAAATAGCGAGGTTGGGACACTTGTTGATCGAATTAGTCCAGTGAGTGGAGAACTTACTTTTTCAAAAAGAAGATTTTTAACTTATAAACTTATAATCATGTTTACTTAATATGATTATTTAAATGATTTCCAATTTTTAGAGAAGCANGATGATTATATTATTTCCACTTTGTGCACTGAGGGGTTACGTCCGTGTACAGAAGTGTTGATAAGACAGTTTATGTGCATATGACTTTATAGCTTTCAGATCATCAGTAGATGATTACATGGGGTATATTTTGATGTGATTATCCAGTATATAGTGGATTATTAGCTTTATGTTTCCACAGTGTATGAGCAGTTATGGTGATTTTACCCGTTCTGCAATGATGTGAATGTGTTTTCACAGTGTATGGCCAGATTATCAGAGACCTTTGGGACCCACTCTCGTACACACATAGGCTTTGGGCCGTGTACTAGGGTTATTAGCCTTTGAGGCAGCTCACTGTACGTATGACCGATTATCATATTTGAATGACTTTGCCTTGTACATCGAGATTACTCTGTACATGAGTAAGGCTATTCATTAGGTACTTATTGGTGTGATTCTTTAGTATATCACATTATGTTTATTCAGTTGTAGATTCACAGATTTTCAAATGTCAGATAATAGTTCATTTCAGATTATAGAATTCAGCTTATTCAGTTACAAAAGTACGATTTTAACTTACAGAAGTGATAGTTTTATAGAGATTTTTGTTAATACCAGATTATCTATATTCGACATATTTTACAGTTGTTATTCAGAATAAAGAGTAAGAATTTTATAATTTGAGCATGTTTCAGTTCTAAAAGATATGATCAAAATTTAGAGTTTCTTAAAACTATAAAAAAATAAATCAAATTTTTCAATAAATATGTATAAATGGGAAAAGTATATATATTTGCGAACTATCCACTCACTGAGTTACAAACTCATATATTTTGTCACATTTTTCCTTATCAGATAGTGGCTAAATTGAGCAGCATTGGAGACTATCGATCCATCGAGTTGAGCCACGCATTGTCATCAGCTGTATGATTCATTTTGTTAGTTTATTTAGTTCATATTTCTTTTGGGGTACATGTAGCTTTTGTTAGAAAAGTTTATCACGGGCTCACTGCATATTTGGTATCTTAGTACATTTGGGGACTTTTGGTTGTAAAGTATAGTAAATATCGATTTGCCAGCATTTTATTTTGAATACTTTGAGTTTAGAGGGCTGGTGTATCCTGTTTTAAATTATAGGTACTGATTTGAGGAAATTGATTATTGTTCAGGTGGTTTTAGTCCATATTACAAAGGAAATTCTGTCAAAAGTTTTATAAATATATATCACAATCAAAGTAGGTCATAGTCGCCTTGAGTGATAAGAGGAATGAGATATGGGTCCAGCACTTAGCTGGTACCTACCATCGGTACACGACACGTGTCGGGTCCATTAGGGTGATTTGAAATGGGTCGTGTCACTCACTCCATCTCTCATTCCTCTTATTGCTCAATCACAAACCTCTTGCGATGCCTGGGATGTCCTTGCCAACACATGCAAGGCCTTCTCGTGGGCACATCAAACTGATTAAGGAACAGATCAAGCATGCAACCAAGGGTACGCAGTCAATTTCTGATTATATGCAACCTATTAAAGGTCGATCGGATGAACTTGCAACACTTGGCAAACCCATGGATGATCTCATTGAGAAAATTCTAGATGGTCTTGATAATGATTATAAGTCTATTGTTGATATTATCAATGGTCATGACACACCGATTTCATTTGATGACTTGCATGAGAAGTTGATTAGTAGAGAACTTTCACTATGTCATCATCATGCCAATTCTTCACCACTCCTTACTTCCACTAATACACTTATTTCTCAATTCAATTCGAGACAGCTTGGCAACCGTACTCAAGGCCCACCATGGATGCACAACTCTCCTCCGTGTGCTAATCTCCAGTCTCAGGATCTACGACTCGTCCTTCGCCTCGGCCATTCTTGGGTCCTTGTCAGTGGTGTTGAGTTCGAGGACACACCTTTTCATAGTACTTTGTGTTTCGTTAGATGAATCCGAACATGCAGCCACCGCCACCTTTGCAGCCATCTCCAAAAGGCAAAACCGTTCTCAAGCTCCATGGCAGCCTCAGGCCAACCTTGCAACTGCTAATCCCAATTACAATTCTAGTTGGCTTCTTGATAGTGGAGCTTCGCACCATGTTACCGCCAACCTGAGTAATTTACCCATTCATACTCCTTATGACAGATCTGATGATGTTGTGATTGAAGATGGCAAGGATCTGATGATCATCCACATCGATTCAAAATCTCTCTATACATCATCTCATACCTTTGCCTTAAATAACGTTCTTTGTATTCCCACTATGAAAAAGAGCCTTATCCATATCTCTCAATTTTGTCAATCTAATAATAGATCCATTGAGTTCTTACCTAATTCTTTTCTTGTGAAGGATCTCCGTACGGAGGCAACACTTTTGCAGGGTCAGACTAAGGACATTGTGTATGAGTGGCCGGTATCCCGTGTTAAGTCTTCTCCAATACTGGCTTTCTCAAGTGTCAAGACCGCTTCGTCTGCATGGCATAATCGTCTAAGACATTCATCATCTTTTATTTTTAAGCATATTACCTCAAACTTTTATCTAAAATTGTTGAGTCCTCTCAATTTAAATTTCAATTGTAATTCCTATCTATGTAATAATAGTCACAAGCTACCTTTCTCCATTTCTTCAATTGTTACTTCTTCCCCTTTTGAAGTTATATTCTCTGATGTGTTTCTCTCCTATTTTCTCTGTTGATGATTTCAAATACTATGTGATTTTTGTCGAGTACTTCACTAAATACATATGGCTATATCCACTTAAACGAAAATCTCATGTACATGATGTTTTTGTCGAATTCAAATCCTTTGTAGAAAATTTCTTCAATCGAAAAATCATTGTCCTTTAGTCAGACAATGGAGGGGAATATCCAGCACTTTCCTCCTTTCTAGCTACCCATGGCATTACTCGTTTAACTTCTCTTCCTCACATACCTGAACACAATGGATACTCAGAACGTCGTCATCGTCATATTCTTGAAACCGGTCTATCCCTTCTCTCTCATGCATCCCTACCTCTCTCTTATTGGTCTTATGCTTTTACCACTGCAGTTTATCTCATCCATCGTCTACCTATTCCCACACTTCGGTTCATCTTCCCATATGCCAAACTCTCCGGTGCTTATCCCAATTACTCTAAACTTCGTAGTTTTGGCTGTCTATGTTATCCCCGGTTCTGATCATACTCTCCCACAAACTTGCTCCTCGTTCATCTCCTTTTGTGTTTCTAGGTCATTCCTCCACTTAAAATGCTTATCTATGCCTTGATCCCACTCCTATCGTGTCTACACATCGCGCCATGTCAAGTTTGTAGAAACCATCTTTCCATTCACTTCTCTTCACTCTCACCTAGATCATCCTTCCTCTCAAATGCTCGCTCATTGGAGTCCTCTATGTTTGTTCTTTTAGCCATCGATACATCATCTTTGGCATCGCCCTCGACTCCCTTTACAGATCCTAATGCCATCCCGCCCATCTCTCCAAACCAGAACCTCAGTTCTACAGTGCTCTCCTCTCCATGCCACAATATCCAAGTTCAGAACCTTAGCGTCACGACTCCCTCTTCTCGTGGCCGCGACATCCCCTTCTTCATGACATGAACCTCAACCTTTTTACCAACCCCACATCACCTGAACCACCTCTTCCCTCATTTCCTCGAGTTAGTGTCACCCACTCCAAAAAACAATATCCACAAACCCCACACTAAATTAAATCTCACTGCTCAACTTGTCCCATCCACTGACCTTGACCCAACCTCAGTGACTCAAGCCATAAAAAATCCCCAATGGCATCAAACTATGTCCGATGAATATGATGCTCTTGTGGGATATGGGACCTAGTTCCCTCCAATCCAACCAGAATTTAGTTGGTTGCAAGTGGATTTTTCGAACTAAACATTTATTTGATGGCTCTGTTGATCGGTACAAAGCTCGTCTCGTGGCCAAGGGCTTTCATCAGTGTCGTAGCATGGATTATCATAACACTTTCAACCCGTTTGTTAAGCTAACTACTGTTCGTCTGGTTCTCAGTCTCGCTGTCAGTCGTGGTTAGTCTCTTAGGCAACTTGATGTCAGTAATGCCTTTCTCCAAAGCACTATCTCCGAGGATGTATACATGACTCAACCATAGGGATTTATTGATCGTGATCATCCTCGTCATGTCTGTAAACTTTGCAAGGCTATCTATGGCCTTAAACAAGCTCCCCATGCCTGGTATCATGAGTTGCGCCAATTTTTTCTCACTTTTGGCTTCACCAATTCTCATGCTGACACCTTACTATTTATCTCCAACATCGATGGTAATTTGATGTATCTTTTGGTTTATGTTGATGACATTATTATTACTGGTGCTAGTAAGGGTGCTAAGCAAAAATTTATCCATCTCCTTGTTAGCCGATTCTCTCTCAAGGATCTTGGATCCTTGGCTTACTTCCTTGGAGTTGAAGTGATGTCTCATGCCCAAGGTTTGCTTCTGTCTCAACGTAAGTACATCAAGGATTTGCTTACTCGAACACGCATGATGGATGCCAAGCCTGTGTCTACACCTCTTTCCACCGATCTACTACTTAGTCTTCACTCTGGAACTCCACTCTCTGATCCCTTTGAGTATCGGACTATTGTTGGTAGCCTCCAGTACTTGTCTCTCACTGGCCCTGACGTTGCGTACACGGTAAATAAGATGTCTCAGTTTATGCATCGTCCTACTAGTGACCACTGGACTATAGTTAAGTGCCTACTCCGTGCACTATTGAACATGGTATTGTTTTATATCGACATTCTGGCATAGCTCTCCAAGCATTCTCTGATGCCGATTGGGCAGGTAACAAGGATGACTATACTTCCACTAGTGTTTACATTTTTTATCTTGGTTGAAATCCTATATCTTGGAGATCTAAGAAGCAGCGAATTGTGGCTCGCTCCTCTACTGAAGCTAAATATCGCTCAGTTGCAACCACTGCAGCTGAACTTTGTTGGATTTGCTTTCTTCTCAGTGAACATGGTGTCTCCTTTCCCAACAATCGGTGATCTACTGTGATAACCTTGGTGCTACGAATTTGTGTTATAATCCGATTTTTCACTCTCGCATGAGATAGTGGCTTTAGACTATCATTTTATTCGTGAATAAGTTCAAGGTGGTGCTCTTTGGGTGACTCTTGTTTCTTCTACTAATTAGCTTGCAGATGCTCTTACCAAACTGCTTCTCCGTACTCGGTTTCTCTTCTTGCGAACGAAGATTGGACTCTCCTCACGGAGTTCCATCTTGCGGGGCATGATAAATGATATTCCTAAATTATATTTTCCCATCTATAGGGAGATTTGCTTTCCCCATGTATAGTCAATTAGTTCCTAATTTCTAGTTTCCTTTTATTTATACCTATCTGGAATATGATTACAGTTGTACTCTATATATACTCTCTGTTGTACCTACTGAAAGATAATAGCATAATTTTATTCTTCTCTCAAAACCTTTAAAATCAAGTAGTATTGGCAAGCACGTCAAAACGTGTTATTTATTGTCTGGTTTATTATGAGATTGCACCATTGTTGTGAATGGAAGCTTTTTTAGTGTACACAACTTATCTCGACAAACAAAGTCGTCATTCCCATCATGGATTTTCAATTCCTGTCGCATCACTTGTTGCCATATATTCCTAAATACACATCTTTACTTCTGCTATGTGTCATTTGATAGTCTGACACTCAAGGTTATGAAGCAAAGTTGGTCTAATAACCATTATCCAGAACTTGCCTTTTTAACTTTATTGGTGACCAAATAGAATCATTATAGCATTTATCATTTCTTCAACTCTGTCTAATCAATTGCATTACATCAACTTCAATTCTTTCTTTCTTATTACTACTGCCTAAACACTTACATTCCTAAAACTAGACGATTTTCAAATTTTCAACTAGACAACTCCTACTCAATAGATTTATAGGAACTTCATTTATACATCCGAAGTTTCCAAGAAGAAAGACCATCATAGATACATAATTACTTAAAAAATCTTATATATAGACAATTAAGATAGTTTAAATCTGATTTAACTCTTTATCGGATTCCAATTCAATATCGCATTCTACATTAACTTGTCTTCCATGTCATCTGATACAAATCATTAAGGCAATTTTCACTCTTGCTTCAATTTCTTATGTTAAGGATAGACTTCACATTGGAGTTCTTGTAGAGGGGGGTTCTATTCCAAGATGTTCAAACTTTTTTTCTTTTGAATAGTTAGGATTTAATAGTCTTCTTTTAAGACAAAAGACTTAAGGTTTGAATTTTAAGCTTAAAAAAAAAAGTATACAAAAAATCTTTCCCCTAGGAATGTATTAGGGAGGCAACAAAGGAGTTGACCACCTTTTTACAATTGTAGACCCTAGAATACTGATATAATAGGATCAACAAATTATTGTTTTCATGTTATTCGAGCTATGAGATTGTCTAAAGAATTCATAGCTTACCAAGATTGACAGAAATAGCTAATATAAGTGGACCATATTCTCCGAAATATGGGATACCAGTTGTCCCTCTGCCAGCCCAGTAGACGCGGATATCCACAGTATTATCAGTGACAGCTGCAGAGAAGATTTTTATGATTCCTATATTAACTCCACCAGCTTCATCTTCGATATTGAAATCCTTGAGCACCAGCTGTCCCTGAAATAATTTAACCCAAATGCTACTGAACTTTTTGATGATCAATAGGATACCACAAATGAAATGCAAATCAAACGGATTCCCATTTATCAGGGAAAATTTCTATTATCTGTAAGAATTGTGGTAAGTATGTAAGCACCTGAATGTAAACAGCAAATATGCGCCTTCCGAGGCTACTGTATGTTCTGTCTTTAGTAAACACGATCTCTGCAAAGTGAAGGCTTATTGTGTAGTTTCCATTTTTGAGACAGAACCCATAATAAGATAATGACAGAGGGGAAACCCGTGCATCCATGTACAGTTGGGGATTTTTCCCAGAGATGCTGGAGGTGTTCGTCCTCAAGTAGCCAGAAGTTCCATTATCCAGGAAATGACCCGTGCTGCTAAATCCCCAGTTTGTCGCACTTTGGACGAAATTAGATGCCCCTCCCGAAGCTTTATCTTTTTTATATAGAGTACCTTTATCATCATCTTTTACTTCTTCTCCCCCACAATTTATATGAAGGGAGTTATACGCTGAGACATAATCCATTTAAATGATTCTTACAGTTTAAAAAAATATTTAAAAGAGGGGAAGTGCAGGAACAGGATACAAACACAGGAGAAATAATCAGTTTTTGCCACCACAAAATCCAAAATCCGGTCTCAGAATAAAATGCCTTTGTGTTACTTAAGTCTGAGTTCTGATGGGATGAACCAACAAAAAGGCAAAGAACCATAATACCCATGAAATTCGATAGATAGCTATGCATTATTGTCAGGTTGGTTCATCCTAAATCATTTTGCATTTTTTTAATTGCTGTTAAAAGTTAAGTTCGATTCCAACGGTAATTTAAAGAAAGTCACCAACCTAATAAATCATCTGATGAAATGACAAAATAAACAATCCACAAACAATGAAAGTGAGGTTTAACTTACTGTGAATGCAGCTAAAGCTTCTTAAGCAAGAAACAATACCGCTGGCAAACAAATTCCTGACAAATATTGGTGCAGTGTTACTAAAATGTGGAAGTTTGAAGAAATATTCAATTCCTGATAAAAGAATTGATCTTACAGTTCTCGCGGCTGACAATTTGAGAGTGTGCTTTTAGGCGTGAGGTAGTTGTAGGATAGATCGCTAAGTACAAATAACAAAGATTGTCAATTATACTGTCTTACATAATTTTCCCTTTCATTTTATGTGATAATACAATCAGGAAGGCGGTTGAATATACTTGTAACTTGGTTTGGCCTTTTCTGATAGGTATTGTCTCTGCCTTTACCATGATTTAATAGAAAGATAAAACCCTTAGCCCATACATGAGCTATGACTTAATCAATTTTAAATAACTTTGACAAGAAGTACAATAAATTAACGAAGTCAAGATGAAACGTAAGAAAGTGCAAATGAGCATTATATAAATTATGGGTTTGCCATCATGAGAACATTATATCTTCATGAAACATATTAAACAAATATTCTGTAGTTTCACATAATTGGAGAGAAAAATAAAAATAAAATAAAAAATAAACTTACATGTGTTGTCCATCATTCAGCATCCAAGTGGGTAATGGACCAGTCAGTGAGTTTCCAGTTAGATAACTGACAAAATGGAGATCACGAATTATTAAGTCTCAGCAGTTTCCCGAAATATATTATGGCTTGTTTGTCGCTGCAGAACGAGCAATAACTTCAAATTTCTGGCAGTGTTGCTAGTCCTTGAATTTTAAATGAATCTCTTTGCAGTCACACACAAGCCATAACCAAGAAAGTCCAAATTTAGTAGTTTAAGTTGGGATTGGGGATTTAGTATTGGCTTCACAAGCTGAACAGATGCCAGTCCACAAAGAATAAAGTAAATTAATATGAAATTCTTGAATTTCTATGTCCGTGGAGTAACAACAAAGCTCAAAAAGAATTTATTTTGACAACTCAAATGTGGGAATAACTTCATTTGACAAAAATGAGAGACAAGCTTGTTTGGCCTCATTATTTCACGTTATAATGAGATAAATAGTAATTTTTTGGAGAATGCGTGGTTAAAAAAAGGGAAAAAATTTTGGGTTTACGTGTAATATTATTTTATTGGAGAATGTGTGGTTAATAATAAGAAGCCCCCGTTTGGCCCCCATTATTCCAAATTAAAATGAGAAGAATAGTAATTTTTGGAGAATGCGTGATTAAAAAAAAAGAAAATATTTTTAGATTTACGTGTAATATTATTTTATTGGAGAATGTGTGGTTGATAAAAAGAGAGAGAAAAATGAATTATAATTTAATGGAGAATAATGGGCCAAACGGATGTGGTGTAGTAAAATTAAGAAAAATAGTTTAATGGACCGAGGATCCGAGCATCAGACCACCGCCCCCAGAAACCCCCCGAAGAAAAAAGGAAAAAGAAGGTCGTAGAGAGCAAGAAAGGATTTTTCAAACTCTTTAACAGAAGACATGAAGCTACTTCTGTAGATAGCTTAAAAATATTCATTCATAATTTGCTCACTTAGCCAGGTAAATTAGACCTTTTATGTCTACTTATTGCAAAGTTATATGGGCATTATATGGCGTTGAGCTGGAAAGTTTAGTCTTGATAATTGAAATCCTTACATGTAATCTACTTCTGACAGACTAGAAAAGTTGTTAGGAATTGATCCGACTAATGAGTTGAAACTGAGGTCTCTGCAAGAAAAGCGTACAAAATAACTTATAGGATGAATAATCTAAAATAGTATTCCCTTCAATTACTTCATTTCATATATCAAGATGTTAAGATCATTCTTAGAACAATAATAAAAGGCTGAAGAAGGAAACTAAGCCCCCGTTTGGTACCGATTTTTAATCTAAGTCAAAGTCAGTATTTCATTTCAATCACATATTTTATGGGTCCCACAACTTTTCAACCACACATTTCATCAATTTTTATTAAAATTTACTAAAAATCTAATTTTAATTCCCACCAAACAGGGCTAAGTCCTTCCTAGCATAATAGGAAATTCTAAATGGTATACAGTTGTTTTGAGATCAAATGTCTTCATCATCTAATAAGCTTTATTTTTGAAATCAGATCAGATGTATGATTTTTGAGGTAATGAGATGTCAATATGGAGAGATTGTATCGCTCCCTTATCTATGCAATTTCAGATGGCTTAAAGTTCCATTATTCAAATCTTTTAAATGAATGGCCTTTGAAACTATCCTCCACATTCATATACAGTAGAACCTCAAGTAAGCACGCAGCATGCACTTGGAAATTCTAAAAATTGACATGGAAGCAATTTAAGGAATCGGAATATTATAGTATTTCAACCCTGTAAGTTTACTAACTTCGAGTACAGAAGAATGACTTGAAACGGTTTCCATAAAACTATAGGAAAATATTCAAAAATAAAAATAAATTGAGTGAAATTGTAACAACAATTCATAGGTTTCAAGTCTCTTCAATTCCATAGTTAATTTGTATTTGAATTGGTGCTTACAAATTCATTCATGACTATTGTAACATTATTTGTGTTAAATACAAAATTAACTAAAAAAATTGAAATCTCCACCATGCTAGTACTATATAAGGAGGTGTTCTCCTCCTTATTACATACACTAAAATTTGAGAGTTCTTTTTTCTCTCTAAATTTCTCTCCTCTCTCTGTTATCAAGAATCTTGTTTAGTAGTCTAGATAATTTGTTTATTCTAGTTCGGTGATAGAATTGTGAGTATTCTTAGTTCGTCTAAAGTAATGACAAGGTGCTAGTTAGCTATTTTTATCTGTTATATTAGGAGACAAATGACATCAGTCCTCTTGTACCACAGTGGAAGATGAATATGTTTTATGTTTTGAGGAAATTGTGTGCAACACATGTATCGGTTCCTTCCGATACCACTACTACATCAACAACGATTTTCATCTATTTTTATTGTTGCTCTGTTTTTAATTTCCTTTTTGTATTTTTCCTATAAAAAAAACACCATAGCTATGTTCCAGGAAATGTCTACAAGTTATAAAAAGAGGATAAGGAAGGTTTATACTAACAGGACTTTCAAACCACTCGTTTTCCCAAAATCCTTTGGTAACTGCCCGATTATATTGCAGCTCCTCAGAATTCTGCAAAATCAGATTCATTAGGTCACTCGCAAGCAAGTTTAGTTCTCTGTGAGACCATTGCATAATCATCAAAAGCATAATACTCACATATACTTGATGTTGCTATTGTTACTCAGATGTGGAAAAGTTGTTTCATCGCCGTTCAAGTCACTGATTCTCCTGCATTCATATTTGGATTCACAAGAATAGAAGCAAGACATCAGAGAAGTTTTCCCTTTCTCAAAAGAATATTTGATTCATTTTCACTTAAATCGGATCATATGCACGATATAATAAAGTTATAATCTGCACTCACAAATCAGATAAATTGGCCATGGATGCAATACCAGAAGGGATAGGCCCACTCAGACCACTACCCTGAATAAATCTGACATTTTAAAAGTTCAAGTTCAGGGATTAATGAAATAGAAAACTGAAGAGGAAAATGTAAATGAAAGATCAAAGGGACTACGAAATATATATCGTCTCACAATCTTCGAAGATTTGTCCAGCTCTGGATAAAATTGGGTATGTTTCCACTGAAGAAGTTGTCACTTATACCGCTGCATTATGAATATAATTATGGAGTTGATATAAAGATCAAACCATATCTGTGTTATAAATTAGAAAACAAGAACACGCGAAAATGGGAAAAAAAATGAGGAGGAACTCACAAGTCCGTCATTGTAGTCAACTTCACTAGAGATTGAGGCAATTCCCCACTTAAATTGTTTGATATTAGAGATCTTCAAATATTAACATAGTACAACAATAAATCAATCCACCTTAATCATCCGAGAAACTAGAGAGCGCGTTGATTCAAAGATAATTTTTCAATAAAGGGCCTTACAATTTCTCTAGGCTTGAAAAATTCCCAAACTGCGGAGGAATATTTCCCGACAATTGATTGTAGTCTAGGGTTCTGTAAGTTTTTCAGAAAGCAAGGAAAATGTTAAATGACATATACATTGAATTATGGTTTCACTCACATACCATTATATAAGAGGGTAAATCGCAATGCGTAATCAAGAAATTTACAGATTTAAGAGAGTGCTGATGTTGGCAAGTTCGATTGGTAATCCACCAGTGACACGATTTCCCAGAAGGGAACTGCAGTGAACCAAAATTATTTTATTACTGCTTCACAAATACGCAAGCACACACTCATAAATGCACATACACAAAAATGAATTTACAGAAAGCATTGAGGGAGGTGAAGAATGTCATACACGGTTTCAAGTCGTTGCATGGTACCCCATTCTCGAGGGATAGTGCCGTTAAGGTAGTTGCGAGTGAGATCACTGTATAAAATGACATTCAAATCGGTCGACAGTTAAGTTAGTTAATTGTATTATATTTGTGTGTCTGTTCTATAGAAAAAAGGGGATGCACTTACATTTCTATGAGGTAAGGGAGTCTAAACAGTTTTGGAGGGACTTTTCCACCAAGACTCTGCCGTCTTAGAATACTGCATTTCAAATGAGAACTGAAGGTGAGAGAAGAGGATGATGGGGGTTTTCACTAAATTTAACAAAATTTGGATGATCTGGTTATATTGACGCGACAGTATTGTTTCGTTGCGTCGCTTTTAAATGGCAGAGAAGATCTTTCAATTGTTGTGTATTTTTATGTTCTCAATATTTTCATTAAATAGTATATCTAATCCCCTCATAATGGTTTTCATTCAAATATTTTGTTATCATGTTTTATAATTAGAGGCAAATATACTTTTTTTTATTTATTATTTTTTGTTTATGTAAATATATGGAAGGTTGAAAAAAACAATGTGACGCAAAATTGAAAATATAAATGCGATAATAAGCAAAATTGAAGACATTTTAGTGCAATTAGAAAATAGGGAAACGAGTAAAATTGTAATGTCAATATAACAATTCTTTGATAAAATATTATCCTAAAGGACCCAAGGTTTTAGGAGTGGCAAAATTACCAGCCGCCGGCACGGAATTCCCACCTCGTTTAGTAACTGGGATGGAAAATATAGTTCCCACACCGTCCTCTTCCACATATTATTTTATATTCTACTATATTTTTAGTATTGCATTTAAAAATATTAAATAAATAAGTAAAATGAACAATAAACGAGGATTTTTTAAAGGGAAAATTACAGCAACGGTCACTTTTTAGTAGATTTTACCCTAACTTTCACTTTATGTCACCCACAGTTCCAAACCTTTCAAAAATATACACATGTGGTCCAAATGGATGGAAAACCCTAAACCCTAAACCATCTTTTGACCATCAGTTGACCACAATAGTAAAATTTTACCAAATGTAACAAAGGGTAAAATGGTAACTTTGCAATTTTAATCTAAAAAAATTAAAAAGAAAAAGAAAAAAAAAGGCTACTGTTATCTCCCCCACCCCACCCCACCCCTCAAAATCATCACAGCCGACAGCACCGTCCCAATATCGACACCACCCAATGCTACCCAACGTCGCCGCCTCAAATGCACCACAAATCGCTGCACCACGACGTCAATCCCATCACAAACCATTGACACCACCATTATCAATTCCACCACACAAGAAAAAAAATCAATTTTTGATCAACGAATTGGATCAACATATAATCAAATAATTCATGAAAATATGTACTTGCAGGCTATATTCGGGTTCCATATCGAACCGGAACATGATCCCCAAATCTGGTCCCGACTTTCACATTCAAATAAAATCGAGCATTTAAAGAATTGGAGCAAATGTTCGTGGGTTTTCATCAGGGAACTAGGTGTTCTCTCGCGGAATGTAACAGAGAGGATGAAGGTGGGTTGGGTTGTTGAAGGAGGTGAACAATGAGTTTCAGCATAATAGTTTAGAGAAGAAGATGGATATGGGGTGGGCAAGTACTAGTTGAGGAGAAGATGTAGTGGATTTGGGAAAGAGAATAGAGTAACAGCTTTGTGGCTGTCACCAGCAAAGACAAGAAGAAGATGATGAAGATGGGAGGGTGAGTTGGGGTGGGTAGCGTAGGGTGGATTTTTTTTTTTTTAGTTTAATTGTTAATATATGGGAAAATGTAAATTTACCATTTTACCCTTTTTAATTTGGTCAAAATTGATTAAATTTTGACTTTCTAGTCAACTAAAGGTTACATCCATTTAGACTCCAGGTGCATATTTTTGAAAGGTTGGGACAGTGGGTGGCACAAAGTGAAGATTTGGTTAAAGTCTACATAAATGTAAAAGGTTAAAGACTACTACTACAAAATTCCCCCTTTTAAACCGCTGATCAAAACTCCCAAAAATCCACAATGGGTGGGGATGAGGAGGACCGTGTGGCCCCATTACTATTCCGTCAAGATGTTTAGAAATTGAAGGATGACAATATTCAAAACATTCGTTAGCTGGTTGCCTTATTTTGATTATGACCAATTTAAGTATGTTTGGTTGAACAATGAATCAGGAAGATAGCATTACACCTTGAAAATTAGAAAAGCATAATAAAGAAAGAAATATGTACCAAAAATGTTAAAAAGGAATATTTGATTCCAAAAGTTTTTGATATTCCTAGAATCAACGGGTTTTGACATGTTGTTCATCATTTGCAATATTTTGGTGAATCAGTTTGACATTAGAGCTTAGTTACATTCTCATGTTGGTGGAATCCAATGGCACACGTAATATTATGTGACAAGGATGCACAACAATGTTGATGGAGTTCTTAATTGACGCATTGTTCTCTCCTGGTTGTGAGAGAATCGTCCTCGAATCATGAATTGTATTTTCACTACCACCCCGAGACCATCCTCCATAAAAAGCCCATCCAAAAATCAATTAGCATAATTAGAAGATGATATCTTGAATTCAAGGTCTAATTCTTCTTTAGAGAAGTTATTGACTGGTCCTTTATTTTCGATATGTCAAATTGGAGGCTCTGTCAAGTTCTTGGCGACATTGCTTCTCTTCGATCATGGTTCTGGTGGATTTTATTGGGGGCTGGTGGGCACTATGTAACCGTTGGGGTTTTGTAGTCTAAACCATTATTTTAAAATGCGTAATGTGTGACATGCATGGAGGCCAAGCTTCGGTTGGTGTGCGCCTAGGCGAGGCTTAGGCGTAAAACAACGTAATTTTTTTTTCTTATTTTAATATTATTTTTAATATTTAATCAATTTAAAAATCATCTAATAATTTAAACAAATTATATTTTCAAATGCAGTTTTAAGAGCTTGATAAAATAAATATATTTTCGAACAACAAACAAGATATATTATAATAGGCTGATTAAAATATATGGAGAGTTTTTATTTTTTTATTAATTAGTAAAATATAGGAAATTGATTAATTAACTTAATAAAATATAAGTAACAATTTCTACAGTAGTACAACACACTACAGCCAAACCATAGGTACGATACACAGTAGCCAAACCAAAGGTATAATACATTATAGCCAAACCAAATGGATCATTATCTCACATCGGAAGTTTACAATAAAATCTTTTGAAATGCCCACTATAAATTAGTCGACCAATTAGTGGGTAAGTAACGTTTTGGGCCTTTCAATCTTTTGGCCTAAAAGTTTAAAATTTTATAATTATTAGTTTTTGGGCTTTTCAATTCAATTGACCTAAAAGTTGAAAAAATTATGTTAAAAAAATATTAATAATGCATGCCAATGAGCGTCTATGCAAGCTTAGGTGTCACGGACCACAGCTTTACTTAAGCCCCGTGACCCTATCGCAGCCGTAGTTTGCCCAACTTCGACTGCACATTGTACATAGTTTGAGTTGTAATATCCTTTCCATTGTAATAGTTTATTTAAATTGTAAAATAGATAGAAATTAGAAAAGTTTAGTATGATTTTTCGGCATTTAAATGTCTACTCCCGTCAGTTGGGTTTTTATTGCTAAGTCTATTATAGTGCGTATTAGTCTTTCAAACACCTTTCAAACTTTCTAGTGTTCGCCCTCTGCACTAGCTATTGTAATTTCCTGCTTTCAATCAATTTTAATTTCTAGCTTTCAAGCAATCAATGATCAAGTTATGTTCAATGCATTTCAATTTTATATTGCAAGCTTTCTTTAAATTGTAACCAAATTTTCTTTCGTCCAGAAACGACCGAGAGAAGGTGGAAGGTAGTCTAGCGGAACAGACTACTACCGCACGGTGTCCCTTTTTGTGCTAAGA